AAAGAGCAACATACGTAACGTAAACATCTGTACCCCCATAATATGCTGAAATAAAAAAAAAAAAAAGAAACATATTTGAAATACTTCCACTGGGGCCTCTGTGATAGCAGCAGTGAGTTATTATCTGCGCATAAACCATGGGGGGAAAATCATCCTGTTCTGTGTTTTTTTCTTTCTTTATTCTAACAAGATCAGTCTATGCTCATATAGGAACAACAAATTTTCATTTAAAATGGGAATGGGAGAGAAATGAGATGTGGAAAGACTTTATTTCATTTCTCTAAAAATTTTTAAGCACCCTTTTACCTCTACAAATAAATTCTCATCCTCTTACTCAGTATCACTATCTCCTGCTGTTCAATTCTCTTGATTCTCAAACACAAAACAATTATTGTTCTCCTTCTTTCACTTCATGCTTTACTGCACTTACCCAAAAACCACAGTTCCAGAAATCTTTCCTTCACCTGACTTCCAAGCTCAAGGTTCATCCTAACTACATAAACTATATTTATTGACCCAAAGTTATACAACTTTTTAAGTATTTTAATAACTTTCATCTTTTTCATGATGTCAATTATTATTTATTAAACATGATTTCTTTTTAATTCCTTTCAGTACCCTTAGACATTGTTCTAATAATACACGTAGATAATTTAGGTAATATATTTTACAGTACTAGTCTATATTTGGTATAACTCAAACCAATTTTTATAAATGCAAAAACATTTATCATTCTGAATTTTTCTCTAGCAACTTTCACTCATAAACATGAGTATATATTATAAAATTCCTTTATTAATACCTCATCTGAATCAAATTACATAATACTTAAAAATATGGCTTCTCTAAAACTAGCTTGTTATTTATAGCAGCTCAATTCAAAATGTACTTATATATTTCCTAATTGTTATCCTGACTGCATTTTAAGTCTCCACATTTGTCCTTTTATATTTCATAGGATGGTGTTTAGGTCACATAAAAGGCAATTGCTTCATTATTCAATATTAATTACCACCACTCAACTTTGCGTATTCAAGTTATTACATCATATATCTTTTTGTGATATTATTTCTCAACATAAAAACAGAAGTATAGACTTACCAGAGACATATATTTCTTTTCAAGAAGTCTTAGTACTGCAGTTCTGCTATAATATGCATGCTAAATTTAAGGGGAAAATGATAATTAACTTAATATTCAAGCTATACCATTTAAATCTATTTTTCCTGTATTATTTCCAGTAGCATCATAAATCACACAATAACTTAGGTTTAAATTATTACAAATCAATGCCAAACAGGTTTTTCTATGTACATTTGGATTGGGAGTATAGCAATCACAAGAATGCAAATAATATCAAAAAACTTACAGATCATTTAGTGACAAACCAGCAGAAAAAAACATCCATCAATCCATCAATTGTGCCCCATTTCCATGATAAGCTATTTTAAAATCACCACCAAAAAAGCATACCCGACTATTAATGTATAACAGAACCCAAAGAAAAGATACCCGAGTGGTCAAAAAAAAAAAAAAATCACAACTTATATTGAAGAGGATATTGTAGTATTGCCTGCATGTGCAGAAATCTGCCAAGGCTGAAATGCTCTGAAGGAACGGTATCCTAATCATTTTCTGCCAATCATACTTAAAAACGATTCAAAGTACCAAAAAGCTTTAATTCTCTCCTTAGAACTGAATATAGATGGAATTAAAACACAAAAATATGCAGCATTCATTGTACAAAAGCAGGGAAAACTACAAATATCATTTAGTTAAATTATGTAAGATAAAATTAGTTCAAAATATAGTTTCTTCACTTTATTTAATAACGATAAAAATATAAAACAGAATACTACCCAGTTAAAAACTATCAAAATTCTGAGGAGTAAGTTTTTTAATTAAACATTAATTAACGGCATTTTGGTTAACTGGAGGTTAATCAAAACCCTGTACGTTTTAGCCCTTGTAGTTTAAAATGTTTTCAAAAACTATTAATCCTTTTTTCAGCTTATTAAAGAAAAATATGTTGATATACTATTAAACTATTTTTAATATTGACCTGAATGTTCTGAAAAGCAATCTAATAGTTCATCCCTTAGACCAAGTCAGCAAATTCCATCCCTCAGACCAAATTCAGACCACCTGCTTTTGTAACTAAAATTTCACCAGAATACAGTCAAGCCCAATCATTTACATGTTATCTGTGGATGGTTTGGAGCTACAATAGTTGGGTTGAAAGCTGCAACAGAGACTACACAGCCTAAAATATTTGCTATCTGGCTCTTTATATAAGTTTTCCAACCCCATCCTTAGACAAAAATGGTATAGGAGGATGTGATGAATTTTCATTAATACTAGAACACACTTGAGGATCTGATTTTGTAATCATTTTCTGCCTCATTCTCTTAAGAATCAATTACTAGCAATAAAAATGTTAAATGAAAAGTTAATTACAAAGTTAGAATATGATTTCATTTTTATTAAAAAAGACCTAAACAGATATATAAAGAAGTATATATAATAAATATAATACCTATATGAAACAAGATCTTAATAGTTGTTATCCCTCTATTGCACAATTAGAAAATATTAATATTTGAACTTTTACATATTTTGCATATTTTTTCTAATAATGGTATAATTTGAGAATAAGGAAAAAATTTTAAAGTGTCTGATGTGAGGAACAAAGGGTTCATATTAAGTTATTTAATTAAATTCAGCAAACATTTATCAAACACATACTATATAGGCCAGGTAAGGCCTAAGTACTGGAGACAGAATTCTGTTCTGGTTAGTTTGGCATTTATCTACAGTTCAGATAGCAAAAGGCAAAAAATGCCATCAGTTAGATAACATCCAAACTGTCCTGAGCAGTAAATGAATATGACCCAGCTCGTCCCTTCCCCACTGCAACAAATACAGCACCTACGTGCCTACTACACAGATTGAGAGAGAAAAAGATGTGAGCACAAAAGTCAGTTGTGTTGCTACTACTGCTAAACACAGACCTGTCTTATACCATGGTTGAAGGAGGTAACAGTATAAAGAGCTCTCTACTCTTAATACTAGCTTCAGTTCCAGAACAGTGGTGAATCCATAGGAAATTGCCAGATTCAGGCATTAAACACATTTCCCCAAACTTCAGGGAGGGAGGCAAGTGAAGAAGTACTTTCAGACATATCTCCTAAGCCAAAGAAAAATGAGTACTGAATCCTTATGGTCTACCACATATGCTTAAAATTTTTGAAGCTTTTAAAGTAAAGAAAAATCAGATTTGGATAGGTCATTCAGCTTATTAAATAGATTCAAATGAATTATCATTTAAAATTCTATTCGGTCTCTGCCATTCCCTAGGTAAACAATCTTAGGCAAGTTAACTTCTCCATGCCTCAATTACTACATAGAAAAAATGTGTTATTAATACCACCTACTTCATAAATTTTGTAAAGAATTAAATGAGTTAACACATGTAAAAGCAATTAGAACTCTTAGCACATACTGAACACTCAAACATTAGTTATTCCTTAAAATAATATAGCAATGTACTGAAAAGTATAAAAACATTCTATTTTTCCTTACCATCCACTTTTTGAACCACACAGCCTTGGTATCGACTAATGCAAAAAAGTAGATCGGATCTAAAGTCTTTTGTGAGACATGATGGCTTTGATTATGTTTAACTGATAACAAGGACAAAGTACTCTCCACAATTTCTTCCATATACCTTAAAGTTTGGAGGAAAAAATGATTTTAGAAAAAAGCAAATGCTATACACACACACACACACACACACACATGCACACTGGTGATGTGCATTATGTTTATGGAATGATAAAATGACATAATCTTCAGAAACAATTTTTTTATATTTCAGTAAATGGCAGAGGTGGGATTCATACTCAATTTTTCTGCTTAAAAACTTAACGTTTTTTCTCCTTCAACACTGGATCTCCAAATTTAACTCTCCTTTTTAGACTCACAGATACTCCTACAACCTTACTAAAAATTTTAGAGCTGAAAGGAAAAAGCTTAAAGAACATTTAAGGAACCTGTCCAAAGTAGCAAAGACCAACCTAAAGCTACAACATACTTTTTTACTTTGTTGTGATAATAGTATAAAATGGTACTTGTATAGAGCCATTCACTTAGCTAAGTACAAAACATGACAAGCTTAAAAAAAATTGAAACTTTATTAATCCTTTCCCAATAATGTAAGTCAATTAAGACTGTCTATATTCTTTCACTTTGAAACGTTTGTGGGGCAGTAACACTCCCTTGTTTTATGTTGGCCTGAGTTAGGGGACTTACTTCTCTGGGTGACGAATCCAGAAAGACGGAGCCTCTTTCTGATACTCATTTAGAAGACGAACCTACAAAGCAGTATAAAATAGTTCTCACAAAATTAGAGTTCTTAAATATAAAACTACTTAAACAAAAATAAAAGCACAGTCTAGCAAATGAATACCTTTTTAAGTAAGCGGATCACATTAGGATTAGTTATGTCCACACCAGCTGAAAGAGTAGGAATATGATTTTCTCTAGAAAGAAAGTATAACTCCAAATATTTTGCTGAAAAGAAAAGGTAAAAACACAAAACTTTTATACCATTCACTTATAGTGCTTTCTGAAAAGTTATTTCTTTTCTATTTTTCTTAAGTATACACAAAAGAGAAAAAACATTTAAAATTATTTAATAAACATACCTAAGCTTGTATAAATTTCCTTGGTCATATGTAATGGTGAAAGTGTAAATGTCTGTGCATAGAATTTTAAAATCCGGTCCTATAGAAATGAAACAGAAGATCTGCATGTAAGATTCTTACTAGACGAGATGAAATATTTTTCACATAGTAAAATCCCAGATAATAAATACTTAAAAAATAAACTATTCAGAAACCTGAACAGGAATGTACTTATTTTAAAAGGGGCACATTCTTATGTTGGTCAGCAAAAAATAAAATCGACCAAAATAGTGGATCTAATAACAGAAATATATTATTCCAAAATCTGGTAATAGTAGGTACCGATATTGGCCAGGAGGGGGCAGAGGGGAGGTTTGATAGAAGGTACAATATAAAGGTGTCACATAAAGGGACAGAATAGGCAGTATTAACTTTTAAAAAAAACACACATTTCCAAATCCAACATTTGTCTTTTTAAATTGCTTACACGAGTAATTTCAGTAATTAGACATTTAGGATTCTTTCTAATAATTTTTCCTATTCCCAAGAAAAATACACATATTTTTTAAAAATTACATTATTAAAACTCAAAGTAGAAACGATCACAAAGTAAATGAAACAAATAAGGTAACATGTAGTTAGAACAGTGCCTGTCACTAGTAGGTACTTAAAAAATGGTAGCTATTATCATCGTAATTATACCAACTTTAATATTGTCATAAGATATTAAATACTAATTGATATTAATCCTAATAGTGAAATCCAACTTTCCATTAAATAAAAACAAAGTTGCCTTAAATTTTCTAACTTGCAGAAAAAAATTAATAAACCTACTTAAATCCCTTAGCATAATCTGCTTACAAGAAATAGTTCGCCAAATGACTAAAGATATCTTCTAATAACCCCCAAGAAATTCCTACTTGAACACAGGATATTAATTACTTTGGGAAGTCTATTTTTACACTTGCAGCAATTGATAAATATCTGTCATACTTTTCAGCCCCTATAGGCTTCACTCAGTTACATGCAAGAGTCCTTAGTGCAGGAGAAGAAAGAGAATCAAACTCAAAAATAATTTGGATCAAGCACAAATTGAAAATGAAAAGAAATTCATGCCTTGTTTTCTACTTCAAAATGACTGATTCTATTACCATTTCTCCCCTGTAACAATTGCTTCCAATTTTCCAATTTTGTTAGCTTAATAAAACTGTCCTTTGCTGCGTAATAATCTATAATGGCTAAATAATGCAACTTATACTGACCCATTAGGAACATAGATATTTTATAAAATTATTAACATAATTTCTAAAATAAATCTATTGAGCTACTATGTTGTCTTTGTTATGTAATGAAAAAATGCAGGAGAATTTACAATTGCATTTCTTGTTAGACAGCCTCCAAATGTTAAAGAGGACCCTGAAATATCTTTTATCCCCTTGAAGTTCTTGGATCACTGAGTCTGTACAGAAGTCTACAATACCCTCTGGTGTTAATAAGGTTGAACTGCATCCAACTATGAGATAAACACCTTCTTCCCTTTGTAAGAAAAACAAATACTGGTTCTCAAACCATTTCTGTGTACCAGTATAATTATATCTTTCTTGATGGTAATGTGTGATTTTTAAACAGACAAATGTATTGAGATATCTTATATTTTTCTATAACTATTTGTTTACTCTCTCTGTCCTCTACTAAAATCTAAGTTCCATGAGGGCAAAGACCTTTTTTCTATCTTGTTCCTGATATGTTCCCTGCATCTAAACTAGAATGATGCACACTGTAAGTATTCAACACATATTTATCGAACAAAAAGCAAAATGTAACTATTGTGCTAATGCCTTAAAGTCTGTACAAAGCACTATTCAATTTTAAAGCAAAAATTTTTTCACTGACATATCAATTAGGAAAAAAAGACTCTTAAAAATTAAAAAATTCAATTTCTATTTTAAATGTGATACTTGGATACAGTCAGGTTTTTTTTTCATTCACATCATAGACACTATCTATAGAATTATTTCTACTTGTTAATATAAGCTTAATTTTCATCATATAACTGTTCCTGAAAAGTCATATGCAAATCAACTTTTGCATAAATCATATCTGACTTCATAATTTTACAATTTTAGAAATTCTTTTTATTTGCTTTATGATTCATCTCAAATTATTTTCTAAACTCTTAACTTTACAGTTTTCTAGCTTCTCTCTTAAGCAGTTATCTCTAAATATTTAAATGTATGAGCAAAATCCTTATGAATCCTTTTGAATAAATGTTAATTCATCAATTTTAAGTTCAAATGCCATGTATCATGAATTTTTTTGTTTTTTTTTTTGTTGTTGTTGTTGTTGCTGTTGTTGAGACAAAGTCTTGCTCTGTTGCCTGGGATAGAGTGCCATGGGGTCAGGCTAGCTCACAGCAACCTCAAACTCCTGGGCTCAAGCAATCCTTCTGTCTCAGCCTTCCGAGTAGCTGGGACTACAGGTATGTGCCACCATGCCTGGCTAATTTTTTTCTATATATTTTTAGTTGTCCAACTAATTTCTTTCTATTTTTAGTAAAGACGGGATCTCACTCTTGCTCAGGCTGGTCTTGAACTCCTGACCTCGAGCGATCCTCCAGCCTCAGCCTCCCAGAGTGCTAGGATTACAGGTGAGAGCTACCATGCCCAGCCAAATTCTTTTAAATATTTTTAACTCAAAAACAATGATAAATATTTGTATATCCCTTTATAAAACAAAACACACAACGTAACAGTTTATTATCTAGCAATGAAGAATGATACTGACTATGCTTTGAATATAATCATGAAATAGTACGTTAATTCCTTTAAAGAAAATTTTGACAATATGAAAGGTAAAACTTAAGGTTTATAAATATTTGAGCTACTATTAAAAAACTCTATTTTATTTCTGAATGGTTAGAAAACACATTATTTTTAAAATTTGTATAACCATTTCCTTACACTAAACACAGGATCAGGATCTGAAAGAGACACTGTCAGTTTTTCACAGAGAGTGGTCCAATTTTCACAGTTCAGGACATCAGATGGAGGAGCTGAACATAACGTTTGCAAGGCTTCATACCTCACCTATAATTTTTTAACAAAGATTTTTATTAATACTTAGGCATTAGAATAATACCAGTTCTCCAAAACAATATTTAACAAACTATTGAAAGGCAGAATCTGGATAACTGTTATAAGGAGCCATTTATCAGATGCCCTTTTATAAAATAATTGTTGAGAACTCATTTTTAAACTAAGTGCTGAACAGAGAGAAAAATAGGTTGCTGTTTTGTGTAAAGCAAAAATTAAAACACTAAATGTACTAAGAGATCCTAGGTCTCACGTTTAAGTGGAATAGGAGAAAGGATGGTGGTTGAATCAGAATCATCAGGGCAACATTTTCCAATGGCCTTGCCCTACAGACATTCCCCATTCTAGCAGGCCCCCATAGGCAGTCCTATAGTTTGAGGGCTTTAATTTCAAAACATCATCCAGATATGCCCCTGGTGAAGCATTCCCATTTCAAGATATATGAACAATTCTCACAAAACAATTAGTTTGAACCTGCTTTTTCTGCTATATTTTCTGACCTTCTAACTACTGAGGTAGAAGAAAAAAGTCATTCAGCAGTGGTATACAAAACTGAATTTCTGTATTTTCACAGAAGGCTTACTTCTTAATCAGTCTTCTCAAAATCCAATCAGAATTCACTCAACACAAGTATGACCTGAGGGAAAGTAGTGGAGAATAGCTCTGCTCCAGTGATGAATGGAGTAAAGCTTCTTCTTCACGGTCCTCAAAATCTGGTCATTGCCCAACTGAAATAACTGAAACCTAGGGACTGAAAAGGTGAGGCACCAGAGGCGGCAACAGGAGCCGAGATCTCAGCCACCACCTGACTCACAGTCTGAATCAGGGTGCCAACTGTAAGACGAAAAAGATAGGATGTATTTGAAAATGCCTATATATTCATATGAAAGAGCTTCTAAAATACACCTTTGTGATAGGCACTGGGGGAATATGGGGAGAGTTTTATAATTATGAGTTCATTTACAATGTTAAGTGTTTTTTCCTTCCCAGTTCATTTTTAGGACAAAATCCCATTAAGAATTTACTACTTGCAGAAGCAGAATAAAGGTTTCTGAATAAGTATAGATTTCCAAATAATCCATTTAAACTAAAGACAATAGGATTTTTATCATATAAAAGTCAAACTTCATTTTTAAGAGCTTTTAAAACATATTATTTAATATGAACCCAGAAAATAAATCAGAAAGCAAAATGTTGAAAGGAAAAAATTATTCTTACGATTTTTTAGAAAATTTCAGTGGAAAATTAAACTATTCATTTAATTTAAAATGAAAGTTTGAGAAAAATAATTTCAAAAATTGAGACCAAATGGTCTACCATATTTTCTATTTCAGACTGACTTTCAGATAAAATTAAGACTTTGTTAACAGTAACTTGTACAATATTTTAAAATATAAACAGATATAATTCAATACAATTGCTCCCTTAAAAATACTTTTTCCAATAAATGAACAAATTGTCAAAGTTTCTCATATGGGAGATATTGGTCAAAGGATACAAAATTTCAGTTAGATAGGTGGAATAAGTTCGAGAGATGTATTGTACAACCTGGTGACTATGTTAATAATAATGTATTCCTGAAAATTACTAAGAAAGTAGATTTTAAGTGTTCTCACCACAAAAATAATAAGTATATAAGGTAGTGCATATGTTAATTAGTTCAAGTCAGCCACTCCTCATTGTATACATTTCAAAACAAGCTGTACATGATAAATATATACAACTTTTATTCTTCCATTAGAAATAATTTTTTTAAAGTTGCTCACATTTTCTAGAAGCAGAAAAAGAATTAAAAAATCTTTTTTCCTAAGAAATCACTAAAACATTGCATACAAAGAACAATGAAGAAAGTTTTGAGGACAATTGCTCATAACTTTATCCTTCCGAAACTGAAGCTAGAAATAAAAATTTCCTCCTACAAACCATCACAATTCTCTAAGGAAAGCCTCCCTTACACTGCGACCTTTCATTTCAAGACTGAGTTTACCAGGGATCTCAGTCTAGGATTGCCCATAATAACAAAGGCCTAACCTTAAGAGAAACAGCCCAGCTGCTACTGATTGTAATTCAATACATTATAAATACATGATAGCCAACTGAACTTGACAGCTATCCTTTTAACTTACCTCTTTAGGCTGCCCAGGATCCAACTGCTCTAAAATCGATTGTAATTTTCCTTGACAAAATTTGTAACTCTGTAACACAATTGACAGAGCATTCACTTATTTACAAGGCTTTTAGAAGTATTGCTATAAATTATTTTTAATATAATTCCAAGCACACAACACATTCTGGACAAGAGAAGATGATATATTTTGATTTGGCAATGCTTGGGATTTTTTGTTTCCCAAGACTTTTAAATGGGAACTGAATATACCAGTAAAACAGTTTACCTTCATGTATATGAAACTATTATTATCTGCTAAACAACTGGAATGTGTAGAACATTATAAGACTCAAAAGACATAAAGCCTAAATATTATGTACTCGGAAATATGAGATGAATGAAACAGAAAGATAAAACAAACAACAAAAACAATTTTACTTGTTTTGTACCCTACATATTGCTACAGTGGTGCTTCATCTTTTTTGTTCCCTTTCTTTCTTGTACTTTTCCTTAGCATTTTTTCATAGTTTTTTTGGTGAAAAAATTCCAGAAGTAAAAACCTCCATCTAGAAAAAAGTTTATAGTAAGTAGGCCATAAGCTATTTCGGAAACAGAAAGGGTCTTTTTTCCCACCAAAGGCAATTTAAATATGCATAACATCTAAAAAAATCATCTAAAAATAAGAAAGATTACAAAAATAGCGCCACTTACTATCTACTATGAAACAAGCCCTATACTATCTCAACTCACAATGACTGTGTGAAATTGAAAAACATGAAAACCAAAGAGGTTAAATACCCGCTTCAAGTTACACAGCTATCAGAATTCATGCTCTCACCCATATTAGAGACCCTCCTCTCTTCACTGTACTCTTTCCTGAGATGTTCTCATCCAGTTCCTTGACTTTAGATGTATCATGATGACACATAAATTTATTCAGTCACTTGATCTCTAGAGTTATATATCTAATTAACCTCTCAACATTCCATTTGAAAGTCTAATGGGCATCTCAAACTTAACATACCCAAAATAGAATTCCTGATTTTTTTTTTTTAAATTCCAAATCTGCTCCTCCCTGAGACTTTCATCTTGGTAAAGGGCACTATGATCCATTCAGGTTGAGTTAGGTCAAAAATAGAAGTCAATCTTGACTCCTCACTTTCTCATTTCCTACATTCAGTCCATCATTAAGTCCTGCAAGACAATCCCCAAGTTCCAAACATACTAAATACAACTACCCATTACTACTTCCCTGCTAAAACCCTAGTCCAAGGCCCCATCCCCTCTAATCTGGACTACTTCAATTCACCTTATCTGGTCTTCCTGCTTCCACTCTTACCTCAACTGGCCCCACTATCCATTCCCAAATAGCAGTCAAAGCTTCTCAAAGTTAGAAATCAAATCCCTTCACCCCATTACAGAAGCCCTCAAAAGACTTCCCACTTTACTCAGTTTCTCTCTCCCTCTCTCTCTCTCTCTCTCTCATACATCACCCTGCTGTCCAGGCTCCAGGTACACTGCCTTCTTTCCAACCCTGGAAGATGTCATGGTCACTCTAGCCTAAGAATGTTTGCCATAGCCTTTCCTCCAGCTGGCAGTGCTCCTACTCCAGAGCTTTGTATGGCTGCCTTCTTATCACTTACAACTCAGCTCAAAAGCCTCTGCACAGATGACTCACACTGTGTTATCCCTAACACTAACCTTTCTACCAAGTGAATCCTGCATTTTCAACTTCTTCTTATACCAGTGGCATACCTTATTGGCATCTCAAACTCAGTATGACTAAGAAAACTGAACTTACCATATCACTCTCCACACCTAACCTTCCACTCCAAATCCCAGGCACAGTTTATGACATCATCATCATCTAGTCCTCTTGGCTTGAAGCCATAGCTAGACCTTTGAGTCTACTGCCATTTGTGCCACCCCCTCCAAAACACGGTCAATAGTCAAGTTTAATGATTTTACCTCTGTAGTAATTCTCATGTCAGTCCATTCCTACCTATTCCTACCAAGCTTAAGTTGGGATCCTTATTATTTCTTACTTCAACTACCATGTTAGCCTTCTAACTTGTCTCCCTACATCAACTTTCTCCCCACTTCTGCATACAACTGTCAGGTAAATCTCGCTGAAACACATTTCTCTATTCAAAAACCTAAAATAATTTCCTTTTGCCTACATAACACAATCCAATTTAGCTTTTGAATGTATTAATTTATTCCTTAAATATTTATTCTGCACATAATATGTGCCAAGCACCTAATATGTATCAGGCACTATGATTTTACAGCCAGGAGCTATAAATAATAATTAAAACATAATTCTTGCCCTCACTCCATAATCTGGCCCTAATATACCCCCCAAACTCTTTATTCTAACCCTTTACCACTTAAAAAAACTATACAAAGGTTCTCATATATGTCATATTCTTTGTTGGTTCAGAGTTTTTGTCTATTCCAATGTCGGAAACACTTTCCTCTATAGCCCTTTGATATTATTAATGATAAGGGCTACTCTTTGGGATTCCCAAAATGTATCATTTCTATTTCACAACGTTGTTATTTATGTACCTATCCTACCTCTTTCCTATATTAACTAAACTCCTTGAGAAAATAATGCATATCTGATTAATCTTTGCATTTTTGCAATACCTAACAAGATATTACACGTGGCAGATGCCCAGTACATATGAGTGTACATCCAGAGTTGATGTCTCTCAATTCTATATTTGTCTTTCCTCCAAGGTTATAATACATATTAGAAAAGCATAACTTTTTTCCTTCTTTGCCACTAAAAAAGAAAAGAAAAGCATAACCTTTAATTGTTATCTAGTTGGAGTATCCTCAATCTACTTACTCAACACCCTAAAAAAGATTCCTTTAACTGTCTTCTTAAACACAGTACAAACTTCTGTTTAAAAATGTTAAACAATGAAATAATTTTTATAATTATTATCACAGTAAATATCAGAATTTATCTAATATCTGTCTTAAAGGCTACCTATGCTGAAGTCTCCTTTTAATATTGTTCTTTATCATGAATGAACATAAATTGCTATAGCAACTAACTGTAATAATTTATTTAAATAGAGCATGTGGATAATGTATTCACCTTAATATATACTTGTTAGATTTTCAGTTGTTCTAAATATTACTTAGATTGAAAATTCCTGAGGATAGGATCAATGTCTGCTAACTCAGTTTGTAAGGCAAGACATACAGATCTGTTGGTGATAACAGAAGTGATGATATCAATATATGTAGCTACTGCCAGAAAGAAAGTTTTTTAAAAAACATTTATTAGAAACTGTGAGATATAAATGAAAAAATTTTTTAAAGATCTTAAATTTACATTTGTTGAAGTGTAAACTAAGCAAATAATATCTGAGCAAACTGAAAGGGGAAAAGAGAAAGAAATGGAAAAAATTGATAGTCTAAGATGTATTTGGTCCTTTTATATGATCATATCAATCTGAATGAAAGGTCTTTATGTGCTAAAATAAGATTTGGATACATTTCTGTCAGATGCAAGTTACCTAAAGATTGCAAACAGAACACATTCTGTAATTTTTTTATAGAGATATCATGTTCAATTACTTTATTACAACATATACTGAAAAATATTCACATTATTCTATTCCTACACTTTATTTTTTAAAAATCACCCTCAAAATTAATTTACTCTAGAAATGTAAACTGTATAAACCATCAAATATGCAACCAAATACAGCTATTAGTGTTGTTCGAACAGTACTGTTGTGGGAAATAAAAAGGAAAAACACATAAATATTGAACTTAATAATGTCTCAGGCTTTAATATGCATAACGGTACAACGATTTCTTTCCTATTCTTAAAAAAAAAAAAAGAAAAGAAAAGAAACCTCACCCAATGCTGACAACAAACACTATATAAATGCTTAATACATGCCAGGCACTGTTCAAAATGCTTTAGATGTTAGTTAAATCACTAAATTTGCAAACACCCTATAAGATAGGCTCTATCTCCACTACACACATAAGAAAACTTAAGTATACACAGGTTAAGAAACCAAGGTCCAAGTTCATCAATGGCAGAACCAGAGATTATTTCAGCTGGTTTGTCTCAAGATTCAGAATAAATTAGCTTCATGTAGAATGGCTGTTTCAAATTGTAGCACATCTAAAACTTTTTAAATTATGCACTCATCTTTCACTAAACTGTAAAGAACAAAGTTACTATTTCAAAACAAAAACATAAGTTTTTAAAAACATTTTCAAATGCTGTTTTTCTTAATTTCCTAGATGTTTTAATTGTTTTGACTTTAAAAATCTTTAGCATTTTTCTGTAAAACTGCTAGATTGAGAATAATAAAAATCTATTACTATTTTAAAGTATGAAGAAACCAAGTGTTCATAAAGAAGAATATTAGCACTGCTAATCAAAGAAATTACTAGTTTTCTGACATTGTTTCCTCAAGGGATTACTATTAAAACAAGCGAGCAAAAATAACCATACACCAGTCCTGATGCTTCTCCCAAACAATCCACCTGTCTCAGATCTAACTCTAGGTAGCTACAATATCAACACTACTATGTTCAGTTTTTGAAATCTCAGCCACTTTTCCCTTTCACTTCTACATTTTTAAGATTTTATGACTCTTTTTCTGCTTACAAAGCAAACAATAAGAAGAATTAAAATCTTTTCAACTGGTGGTAGCCAAAGATGGAGGAACTTCTGATGTGTAGATTAGGATGTAGCTAATCCTATGTTCGGGCTGATGTTGCTGAAAAAGAGATGAGAGTCTTAGAATCCCTCAGCATAGCATAAAATCCTCAAAAGCAGAATTTCTCACCAAAAAGAGCATTGTAGAGCTTTGAAGATTTAAGGAGGGGCCAGAAAATGGGCTAAATTTAAGATATTCTGATTAAGATTTGAAGAGTAATGGCAAGAAATAAATTAGGGTAGTTGAAAGCACATACTCTGAAAAACAAGGCAAAGGACATGCACCCACTAAAGGAAAAAAACTACTTGAGAAAAATTCTTACCGAATAATTCAAAACCTAGCAACAAGACGGAGCTCAGACTGTTTCCAGGAAAAGAAGAATACATTTCCTTGCTTCTTTCAGCTTCCAGAGGCCGTCTGCATTCCTTGGCTTTGATTGCCTGCTTCCACCTTTGAAGCCAGTGATCATATCACTCCGACCTCTATGTCAGAGTGCACAGCACTTTCTCTGACCCTCCTGAGTATCTCTTAAACAGACCCCTGTGATTACATTGGGCTGACCTGGATAACCCAGGATAATCTCCCTCATCTGAATATCCTTAACTTAATCACACCAGCAA